TCACCAACTGTGGCAGGCGTGGCTTCCACGAGGGGTTACAGAAAGAGAGCTTAAAACGGCGAAATATAGGGAACATCTCTGTGCCTCTCGGTCTCTCTCTCCAAATGCCCATCTATCATTACAGAAAATAACCAACCAAAGCGTGGGTTAAACCTTCTCATGTGACTCCATTTTGGCTCAAGGGTTAAGGATAAAGCGGCCTTGCATTTGGGGTTTGCTTGTTCTTCCTGAATCATTTGCATTTCATTGGATTGTCAGCCGTAAGTCAATGGCTGTCCGGCCAGTTCGAGCAGGGTGTCGACAACCCGATTGCCATATGTTAACCTTGCTGCAGCCTCTCCCGCGCCTTCCAATTCCAACCAAGGGCGCGCCTGTTTGGGAGTCACTTGCTGCTGCAGACATTCCACCAGAATTTCCAGCCACCGCCTCCCCACTTCTCGGCGCTCTCTGGAGATTCTGTCGGCTGTGATGAATTGCCGGTCCATGAGTAGTGCACTCTCCGTTGGTTCTGGAGAGTTGCGTGCCAATCTCCAATGCCTTGCTGCCCCCAAGGACGTGGCATCGCATCCCGCTATTGATTGACGAGCTGCTGTGGACCACCAGCCGCGCAGCTGGTATAGGATCACAGGGCACCACCGGGTGTCTGATGCAGGATCAATTGTGCGCCGGCCGTTCCTGCGTGTTTTCTCGTGTTTTCTCTACATGTTTGACAGTAAAGGAGGCTTAAATCCGTGTCATCCATTTTTTAACTTTAGCAAAGCTGAAATAGCCACCTTCACAGAGGGTCTTGGATCAACAACTTGCCCCAAAAAAAACTGGGATCATGAGCATGATCTCCAATGACAAGTATATGTGTCAGGTCTTTCAATCACCAGTCCATCATATGTTGTTTGTGTGTATATTGATTGAATGATTTCTTGATTGACTGGCCAGCTTCATTGTAGCTTCTATACTCAATGGGTTGAAACATGTCCAGCGTCCCATTTCCCTTTAAAAGGGAAAAACAAAAACACATAGCAATAGAAAATCCCAAGGGAATCCCTCTATAAAACTGAGTAATGTTCAAAACCAATACCGCTTGGTTGATAAGGATTCCCCTACTGGATTGTGATATTCCCCAACTTTTTGGGTAAGATATATGGTTAAATATATGGTTAATATATATATATGGTTAATGATGGTTAATAATATTCTGGTTGATGGTTGAGCCTACCCCTCTGCAAAATGATGGAGTGAAAGTCAGATGGGATGATGAGATTCCCAATATACGGAAAGTCATAAAACATGTTCCAAACCACCAACCAGTATTGGTCAGATTTGGTTAGTATAACCCCAATACCCCAATCATCAACCAACCAGGGTTTTGAATACTGCTCAACTGCCGAACTTTGTTCTTCTGCGTCGTTACCCCGCGAAAAGTCCAGAGACTTTGTCTCAACATGAACTGGCCAAACTGGAAAAAAATCACCAGTGTCTTTGAGGCTGTCACTCGGGGTTATTTGTGTGAAAATGAGGCAATTACTCCAAAATTTGACTTTTTTTTTGTACTTTTCCCAATTAAAAATGGCAATTCTGGCGTATACCGTACCTACTTTTCTAGCTAAGACTCAAACATCTGCCCAAGAACGGGATGGTCAAACATTTGATTGTGTATAACATAAGTATATTCTGTATATAGCTGTAGATACTATATCTAATGCAATAGAATAAATGTTATACACAATCAAATGTTTGATTGTATTGACTGGATAAAGTTCTTGACAATGCAATAAATTCAATAACTTTATCCAGTCAACCTTCGGCTCCAAATGGGCCCAACGTTTCGATCATCCCAGCAACAACACAAAAAACGGACCTCATATCCTGCTGGGCAGTCTGTCTTGCTGCAGCCTCAGCATGCGGTGAAACTAAACTGCGGCAGCTTTCTCTTTCTTCAACAACATCAACGGACATGCAACCACTATTCTGGACCATTCCGGACACATGCTTCAACCCCAAGCCCTTTAAATACCCTCCAGTAAACTAACATAAACTAACATCGCTATTGAACATGGCCTATGTAGTTCGTTGATTGACCTACAAAAAAACGGGTGATTTCCCAGTTTCGAATCAACGAGCCCAAAAGGAGCGATTCGGCTGCCCACTTCAAAAAGTGGACTCCATGTGATTTTCCTCAATGAAAAAAAATGGATACCCTCTGGTAAACTAACATAGCTATGGAAAATCATAATTTTTAATGGGAAAATCAACTATAAATTGCCATTTTCAATAGCTATGTTAAATTACCAGAGGGTATCCCATGATCTCCCTAGTTTTGTAGTGTTTTATGTTGGTAAAAAAAAAACCGTCGATTCCTCCATGGTGAAGCACTACTTGTACATGTTGGGGCTATGAAAATCCATCATTATTCATTGTCTAATTTCCTACTGGTTGGTGGATTTAACCATCTTGAAAAATATGAGTTCGTCAATGGGAAGGATGACATCCCATATATTATGGAAAATAAAAGCCATGTTTGAAACCACCAACCAGCCTATCATTTGATGAGTTTTGATGGTTAGATCCAATCCGTCATTGCTAATCTGGTTGGTGGTTGAGCCTACCCCTCTGAAAAATATGAAAGTCAGTTGGGATGATGACATTCCCAATATATGGAAACATAAAAAATGTTCCAAACCACCAACCAGTAGTAGTGATTTTTATTCAATCAACTTGTCAAAGAATTGGTCGATTTCTGTTTGATTAGCAATCCATATACTTGCCATATACGATGATCCATTGGGTTAAAACCCAATTAAGTGCTTAGTTTCAATATGTCTTAGTGGTTAATCCAATCCAATTTGCCTTGGGCATCTTATCATTAACACCTCCATGTATCCGGGATTTCCCAGCCATGTTTGATTGGGGTAAATCAATTTTCCACGGTCAATCATTTGGTAGTCCACAAAAAAGAAACATATTTTGCTGTTTAGGACTACCAAATATGGTAACTATTGTTTCAGGTTATTTTCCATTGCAAAAAAACTAGTTGGGACTTTCCGCTGCCCAACCACTTGGATCACTTGGGATGACTCTCGTAGAATCCACCAAAATGAACTTGTTGGTGTACCACAACGGGTGCCCGGGCAGACATCCTTAGCATCTTCTCCTGCGAAAATCACCTGCGAAGGGGCGCGCAAAGACCACGAAAAGTGTACCCCCCCCAAAAAAAAAGAAAAGCAACAAGGAAATCAAGGTTTCGCACGGCAAAACATGAGAATATATATATATTATATATATTATATATATATCATATATATATATATGGTAACTGCCCCCCCAGAATTCCCATATTGAGTCTAAGGGCGCTGACCACAGGGGGTTCTTGGCAAGGGCGCTGAGCTATATAGTCAACTGGTGGCATATGATTTCACCATCAATTAACATGGATGAATATGACAAATATTAAGCATGACACATGAGGATAAAACAACTCGATGGTCAGTACACTGACAGGAAACCTGTAGAAAAGCTGCGGTTACCATGAAACTGTGGATTTCGGACTTTGAACGCTAGGGCTTGTAAGTAATCATATATTCTGGTTGGTGGTTTTTAACCATCTTGAAAAATATGAGTTCGTCAATGGGAAGGATGACATCCCATATATGATGGAAAATAAAAGCCATGTCTGAAACCACCAACAAGGTGTAATTTAGTGCCCAAAAAAAACAAGTTAGAAACTTGCCGTTAAAAAACACTTGTTTGATGGATAAATTGATAACTCAATGGATAAATGCCATCGTTCGGCGGCCGAAATCTCAACACTTTGCACAGCAGGCTTAGGTCAAAATCCATGACAGAGGACTTTTAGGTGTTGGACACAGTCGAAATGTTCCCATGGCCGCCGAACATACCTAACCGCAGCTACATAAACAAAGGTTCACCTGGTATTCTTTGATAATCTCAGATATCCAAAATTAACAAAATATGAGAAAAGTCGCGATACACACTTGGATTTGCTTTTCAGAAACACCAAAAAATCAAGACACATTCAATTTCTGATTCGTCGTAGTGGATTTCCAATTGGCAAACAAAAAACATTCACTCAGCGAATTCAGGTATATGGGGCGGTAAACAGCCTCTGGTGATTGAACATAGCTCCGGAAAATGGCCTGTTCATATGTGATATATGTGACTTTGCCTATCAAAAATGGTGATTTTGCACTTCGCAAACTGCGAGAAGGATAGTGAATTTCCATCTTAATAGGCACATGTTAATATTATTTATATGGATTCTTCTTGAAGATAGATTCTATGTTCATATATCATATGAACTGTTGGGAAATACTTATTCAACAGTAAATATAATATTCTCTTGATATAGTAAATATTCCATGTAGTTTCTATGTTCATACTTACACTCTGGTAAACAAACATAGCTATTGAACATGGCCCAGTCGAAATAGTTGATTTACCCAGCTAGAAAATGGTGGATCTTTCCATAGTTCTGGGTAAATTATAATATTTCACTGACCTGAATTAAGGCCATTTGGGGATGATTCCCCTTACTAACTATGATTATAGTGAGGTCGCAGTGAGGTCGTTATAATTTACCCAGATAGTTATGTAAATGTTTACCAGGCCGGGTATATCAACTGTTGGGAAAAGGTCGATGTTTTTGACCTGAACAAAGGGTGCCAGAGGATGGTCTACAGCCAAACATCGACCCACAATGAATCGAAGAATTCAAAGAAGGTCGGTAAAGGAATGCCATTTGCACCATCCCCCAGTCGTCACCATTTTGATAGGTGGTATAATTATATATATATATGTATATATATATATAAACCATTCCCAGTCATGGCTAGTACAGTAAGTAAAAATGACATTGTTTTAACCACATGACATCCACCTTCGGGATCAGTTCAGAGGGTTATTGCTGGATTCCCAAGGCCCAAAATTCTGATGATTCCCAGGCGATGGTGGCTTCTCCAGGGATCCCCCCGGGCGCCGCTGGGTGCATTTTTTCCAAGGCCAACTGGTCGGGACGAAGCCGTGAAGCCCCGATAGGCTGCAGATAGGCCCAGCACTGTACACTGTACAGGCAGCAGCCGAGGCTCATCCTTAGATCACTGGGAGACAAGCAAGACCAATATATGGGGTCGGGTCAAAACCTATTACTATCAATTTTAGTGGAATGAACACCCATTTACCAGCTACTTTGGGGTTCACTAGGTACCAGGGTTTTGACCCATAGCCATATTTGATTGATAAATAATGGTATAAGTATAATCTTCTCTATGGAGAGGGACATTCCTCATAGGGACACTCCTGGAACACTCCTTTTTATTAATTTTAATTCGAAATATTTCAATGATATAACACCAATGATTGACAAATACAGATTTGAAAAATAAAGATTTGAAAAAACAGATTTGATAAATAATGATTTAATGCTGGCAGAAAATCACCATTTTTGATTAATAGGTAAATCATGTTAAAACAACCAGAGGGTGAGCTTTATGCTGATAAATTTGGGGATTGAACCATCCAACGTGTTGAACATTTTACCATGGAATAATGGCCTGGTATATGTGTGTGAGAAAATGATTGATGTACCCTCAATTTATTGCAGTTTGAAGAGACAATGCTGGTTCACCATGAAATTGTGGGCTAGCCTCTTTTCAAACAAACCCGTATGAAAGTTTCCAGCAATGGTAAACTATGGCAAAAAACTATGGTAAAAACCATGTATATACAACTACGATGGTTCATTCTTAGCTGTAGCACATTTTGCAGAGACATGCACGTGGCACAGAGTCAGCCAAAGAACTGGCACAAATGGGATCGATCAATCTACGTGGGAAGAATATCCAGGGAGCAAATATTACCCTCTGGTAAACGTTTACATAACTATGGGAAATCAATGAATATCACCATTTTATAGCTGGGTAAATCAACTATTTCGACTGGGCCATGGCTTCAAGTTCGCAAACTGTAAACGTTTACCAGAGGGTAAGAAGAAACATGTATCAGGGTATCTTATGCCACTATTTCACGAACTTGAAATACGGCTAGGGGATACTTACCCCGTGATGTCAAGGATATGAGGTCATTATCATTTGTCCATATCCAAACATAGTAAACATATGAAACCGCATGAAATCGCAAACTAATCCGCAACCTATTGTACAAATTGGGATTTGCCAAACTCCAATTAGTTTCTGTACAAATTGTGATGTGCTGCACATGGATTCGGGAGACGAAGATCCACATGAAGGAACCAGCTGAACCACCTGACTTGACTTCACATCCCAATTTTTGTGAAGCTGAGCCACTGCTTTGTTTTACTGAATAATCAAGCGTACAAACTTCTCCTGCCCAGGTATGACTCCAGCATTTGACCAATCGCTGGATGATTTCCTCAGTTCTGGCCCTTTACCAGTGGTAAGTCAGTGAAGAAATGCCATTTGAGTCGAATGATAAGCCCATGTGTATACAGTTAACAACTAGTTATAGCTGGCAAAGGGCCATACCCTCTGGTAAACTAACCTAACTATGGAAAATCACCATTTTTAATGGGTAAATCCACTATAAATGGCCATTTTCAATAGCTATGTTAGTTTACCAGAGGGTAAAACTGTTTGGCAAGGAAGTTCGTGTCTGAAACATGCCAACTATGCCAATGGGAAGGCTGGGAAATCTACAAACGCTGGGAAGTTTGCTGGGAAAATTATCGAAGGATTCATTCGTGGAAAACACCCATTGCACTATTTGAGTACCGGAGGCTAAATCTTAAATCAACATGCAATCCCAATAAACCCCATTAAATCCCCTAGGATAAAATCCCGAACTACCGCAATTCAAATTACTGCAATTCTTTAGTTCTTTGGGTCTGGGCCAAACACCTAGAGTTTGACCAAAACCCGCAACAGAAACATGGGATGCAGCTGCTACTTCAAGATATTTCAACCAACATGAGGTCTGAACCATCTGCCCCCAGCTGTGCCCAGTGCCTCGGAGAAAAAAGATAAAAATGCCATGGTCTAAATATGCTGGTTGGTGGTTTCAACCCCTCTGAAAAACATTAGTCAGTTGGGATTATTATTCCCAATATATGGAAACAAATGTTCCAAACCACCAACCAGTATGGGATATGGTTCATATGGTTTCTGGTCCTGCATCCAACAATAGGAAGCATTACAATGGGTATGTAATGGATTGATAACCATTCCCCAATACGGGTTAATCCAACCCAACTCTTGATTATAGTTGGTGAAATGTATCCCATAACATATCCCCGTGAATCTACGCTAAAATCCATTGTTCTAATAGTTCTAATAGTTCTAATAGTTCTAATAGTTCTAATAGTTCTAATAGTCAAATCCATACTTTTCACCATAGCACATATAAAGCGACTTAGCGAATACATCCTGGATGTTTTCATTGAAGCCATATATGCTGAATTAAGCCTTACTATGTACATACATGTATATCTGGTTAATGGTTTCAACCCCTCTGAACAATATGAAAGTCAGATTGGATCATCATCCCAACTATTGGGGAAAACAAAATTCATGTTCCAAACCACCAACCAGATATATATATACACACATATATATATACACATATATATATATGTCACATATATTATATGGAGGTTTCCTAAGTCATAGGGCTACCCCCAGTCATCCATGGGGCTTTACGGAACGCCCATAATTTCGGTCCCATATTTATCCGCTGGTAAACATACCAAAAACTATGGAACATCACCATTTGTAATGGGTAAATCAACTATTTCTATGACCATTTTCAATAGCAAACTGTTAAATTACCAGAGGGTAAACATAATTTTGGGGAATGACCATCCAGAAATTCAAAATATCTTGGCACCAAAAAGTCCATCGTGACCACTTAGGAAGATGCAGGTATATATATATACATATGGGGGTTTCCTGAAATGGGGGTACCATGGCGTACTTGGTGTTTATAAGGGAAAATCGATCTATATTTGGGGGTACCCCTATTTCAGGAAACCTCCATATGTATACATATTCCCCCTGGTTATAGGAAATAGTTACTGGCCAACACCGTGCCTTCTTGAACAACGTCGTCATTTGCGCGGGGCTTTCTCCGCCCTGGCCAAATCAGCCGCCACGCATGTCATGGCTACTGAAGAATTGATGGATTGGCTCTGGGATATTACCCTCTGGTAAACTAACCTAGCTATTGAACATGGCCATTTATAGTTGATTTAGCTACTAAAAATAGTGATTTTCCATTTAGTTTACCAAAGGGTAATGGAAATTTTGGTGTTATGTGGGATTGGTTTATGTAGGTAACACAATGTCATAAACCCTCCCCAGTCATCACCATTTTTATAGGTGGTATAAAACATTCCCAGTCATGGGGTATATTATTGCTTTGCCCACATCAATATCAACCAATATTGAAGATGCAATGGACTGATCGAAGGGAAACACTTCACCGGAAACCATCTTTTCACTGTGAAACATGTCGTCTTTTTCCGCACATTTTGCGTGAATGAAGTAGATGATACTAAGAGAAACCACAAGCCACAAGATCTTGGTTGGAAGGGAGGGCTTGCTTTACATGCTGAATGTGAACTTCGTAGATTGATGACATCAAGGCAATACAATGTCAAGACCAAAAACACATTGCACTCAAAGGCCAGCAAATGAGTGAACAATTGATCGGATGCATCCAGACATGCCCGGAACAACAAGTAGTCAATTGATTTCTGGTTGGTGGTTGACCTACTCCTCTGAAAAATATTAGTTGGGGTTACTATTCCCAATATATGGAAAAATAAAAGCCATGTTCCAAACCACCAACCATAGAATGTTTTGATGATCCGGAAAGGGACCGGATGAAGTGTGTCAACCTTTTGCAATCAAAAGGATCGGTGAGTGACCAAAAAACCACCGGTGGTTTTTTGTTCCAGTCCCTGATGGTACAAGGTGCTGAAGGTGCTTATGGTTTATGGCAAATACCCTCTGGTAAACTAACATAGCTATTGAACATGACCCAGTCGAAATAGTTGATTTACCCAGCTATAACATGTTGATTTCCATATAGCTATGTTTGTTTACCAGAGGGTACATCGAACTAGTCATGGGTCATTAAATGTCACCACTGAACATCACCCAACCATGAGGTATCTCATCTATGCCATTCAAAGGTGATGTCCAATAGCCCCAAAATGGGACATTTACCAATCCCTGCTAGTTGACTAGGATTTTAGAAGCCAACATCATGTTCCGGGGGGCACCCCCGACTGTTTTTGGTCATAGCGTATATAGACCGTCTAATAGAGACCTCTGAGTTTCAGCCATTTGAGACGTCCCAAAAAAAGGGGGAAGCCTAACCCATGTCGCATCGATGGCGCGCCTGATCTACCCACTTCTTCCAAAAGGATGGGACTCCTTGGTACCAAGCCGTGGCAGCGATGGGAGCTGAACAAAAAAACCATGAGGCTAATGATAGGTAATACATGGTAATACATGGTAAAGAACCCTTTAATAGAACCCTAATAGAACAGTAAAATGATGGTTCCCCAAAATGATGTTTACCCTCTGGTAATTTAACATAGCTATTGAAAATTGCCATTTATATTGGATTTTCCCATTGAACATGGTGATTTTCAATAGCTATGTTGAATTACCAGAGGGTAATACATGGTAATGAACCCTTTAATAGAACCCTAATAGAAAAGTAAAATAATGGTTCCCCAAAATGATGTTTACCCTCTGGTAATTTAACATAGCTATTGACAATTGCCATTTATATTGGATTTTCCCATTGAAAATGGTGATTTTCAATAGCTATGTTAAATTACCAGAGGGTAATACATGGAAATGAACCCTTTAATAGAACCCTAATGGAAAAGTAAAATCCGAGTAAAAGAATGACCACTCACTTTTCTATCGTTTTGGACCCTATGATATCACAATCTTTTATACATCATATAGCCAAATATATGGTGGTAATATCGTATATAGCCTTGTCTCAAGATGGGGAATATCCGTCTTGGCCCCTGAGAATTAATTAGGAACATAATGACAAACCACTGTATCTGGTTGGTGGTTTCAACCCCTCTGAAAAATATTAGTCAGTTGGGATTAATTGTTATTCCCAATATATGGAAAAATAAAATTCATGTTCCAAACCACCAACCAGTTATTGTAGGGTTCCAAGTGTTGAGAGAATTCCATAGATAGTCACATAGTCCTAAACAGGCTGTTGATCATTCACGGGCTATCATTTGCAAATGACTCCATTCTTTTGCGGGGGGTAACCCGCAGTTTATCAACCGAGGTTGTGTATAAATCCTGGGTTGACATTATATGACTATGAAATGTAAATCTGCAATTGGGTGTATCATCCTAGTTGTTGTTCAGACCCTTTCTGGTGAGATTCTTGTCTTGGAGTCATCTCGAACGAGTGCGCAATCTGAACATCCAAAAAGCCTGAACTAAGGTGATGTTTTGATGTTTTCCGGCATGGTAATCATGACTTGTTGCGCATGGTTTTTCAAGATTGCCGAATGCTGCAGACCGCTACCCATCAATTTGGTAGCAGACAGACCTCAGGGTGACAGCCCAATGAGCCATGTTCGGAACCCTGCGTCATCTCTATATACTGATACTGGTTGGTTGAGAACGACCTTCCCCGTTCATGGATTGTGATAATCCAAACAAAATAATCTTGGTGAGTATACCCTCTGGCAAACATACAAAAAACGATGGAAAATCACCATTTTTTCATAGATCAATCAACGATTTCGACTGGGCCATTTTCAATCGCAGAGGGTCCCCGAACACATCAACCAACTCAACGGGGAACCACCATCAACCCGGCAACGGAATTTTTAGGACATCCATGGATCCATGGAGCATCATGGACAGGCGACCAGCGCCCCCCAGTGATGTTTGTTGGTTTCTAATCCTCTTTAAATATATTTCAATGGGTAAATCCACTATATATGGTTGATGATGATGGTTAATATATGGTTAATATATGGTTAACATATGGTTTATATATGATTAATGATGGTTGATAATATATCTGGTTGGTGGTATACCTACCCCTCTTCAAAATATGAGTTCGTCAGTTGGGATTAATTATTATTCCCAACTGAATGGAAAAAGAAAATTCATGTTCCAAACCACCAACCATTATAGTTATATCCCCTAATCAACCCTAGTTATTGGAGTTACAAACACACGCAATCTATAGGGCCCCACCCTGTATATTTTCCATTAAACATCCCAGTGTCTGAGCAGCTTCAAAAAAAGCCGTTTCCCCGCAACCATCTGCTGCTGACGTGGCAGACCCTCTGCGGATGTAGCGAGTTCCTTCCGAAGGAATGGGTCCAATAATGTCCTTTTGGTAAAAATAGAGGGGCCGGTTTGGTATACCATCTATCATCATTTCCCTGTTGTCAAAGGGGTTTCTCCAAACCCCTCTAGTAATCAACCAACCAATGGGAAAAGGACATCTATGAATGGGTCTGCAAGAAAAACTTGAGGACAAATCTCAAAATCCCTTGGTTTGTCATTTTTTTAATTTTCCAACAACATCTCAATGGCCATTTCAGGATCCTAAAATGGAGGTACCTACCATATATAAGGCCTATGTAAGGGGATATCCCCAGAAAATATGGCCTTATATGGTACAGTACCTCCATTTTAGGATCCTGAAATTCCCATTGAACATCTGGTTGGTGGTTTTAACCATCTTGAAAAATATGAGTTCGTCAATGGGAAGGATGACATCTCATATATGAAATGGAAACTAAAAAATGTTTGAAACCACCAACCAGAAACTGTTGTTTCCGGGTATACTCCAGAAATCAGCGATAGCCAACCAATAGTTCTGGATAAAGTACAATAATTCACCAACGTCAAGAGTTTGGCCATTTGGGGATAGTTACGCTTACTAACCATCTATCCACATATTCCATAATATTCTTCAACAATATTCCATAATATTCTTCAACATTAATATTCCCCATTCTTCAACATAAATCAGACAAACCACATATTCAGATGGCACATGGCCAATCTTGCATACTCTGCGTATCCAAAAAATACTTTGGCTGATCCGACGGCAATCGATTGAATCTCACGCGTGGGGCGTTATGGAAACAAGCCATTTAAGGTTGACCTACGTGGTTGACGTTGGATTTTAACAGTTACCATCTGGTTATGGCTGACAGTTCACCATGGAAAATCACTCATAAATGGAGGTTTTAATGGGAAAAACACAATTTTTAATAGGTGAACCATCTATTTCTATGGGCCATTTTCCATGGCCATGTTAGTCATAACCAGAGGGTATATGGGTGTGTCTAGAGTACCCACAATTTGATCGTTTATCATATTTTCAAACGAAGTCCCAATTCAATTACTTTTGCCATTATGAACCATTCTTGTTGACCATGATCCAGAATCCATAACAAATCTCAACACAAATACAAGCATTATATCCCTTTACATTTACATCCATATTATATCCCCAATGCGGTTGTTTAACATTCCCGATTGTTTCACACACGTTGTCGTATGAATGTTTGATTCCACTTATGGGAAATCACCAATTTTTCAGATGATTGTCCCAGCAGTTTTTTCATGCTTGAAGACTCGCTATAACCACCAGTCTTGACGATTTTTGATGGTTGAAAGCTCAATAAACAGGGGGTCAACATATCAATTTAGAGTCATATTGTTGGAGCTCTCTTTGGTGGATTGACATATTCACATGGGGTTGTCCTAAAATAGGGCTACTGTACCCCTAAATCATCCATTTATAGATGGATTTTCCCTGAAATAAACCATCCAACTACTGGGGTACCTCCATTTATGGAAACCCCCATATAAATCATATAAACCCCCATAAAATCCATCTATAAATGGATGATTTAGGGGTAGCCCCATTTTAGGAAACCCCCTTTATCATCCTTTATCAATAATATTCCAAAAAAACATCCACCAGGGGCTCCTCAATGACCTTCTTCTCCTCCGCGAGCCGGTCTTCGATCTCGCCCAACAGGAGCCGACATCCTGGGCGGGTTGGATTTTGCTGGTGGAACTCCCCAAAAATGTGGAGATCGGCGACGAATTAAGGGGTTTTTCACCATGAAGAAATGGGCAGTGAACTTATGGTTGACTAGGGCGAATAAATGGGATAGGGATCATATATCTGGGTAAATTATAATGTTTCACTAACCTGAATTAAGGCCATTTGAGGATGATTTCCCTTATTAACCATGATTCCAGGGTCGGGAGAACAGTGAGGTCGTTAGAATTTATCCAGACTATTTGTTGGTAATTGCTGAATTGGGACCATCATGGTTTTGCTGAGACGCAAAAAACACAATGCTTAAAATCACGTGTTGTTCACTACTCCCGCGTCACGAATCCAGATTTCTTCTTTAAGGATGGAAAATGTAAACACACAATTGAAACACCAACCTGAAGTGGGTACTTGAAACTTGCATCTCACTGAGTAATTGGACTATAGACTATTATATAATCTATAGCTGAGGATGTCAATGGATGTCGAAAAAAATGGTTTGTCCAAAAATGCTTGGAGCACCCCACGCAATTGTTATTTTAAATTCGGAAAACATGATAAAACAATGCATGGATTGGGGTACCCAATTTTCAAACAAAGTCAAATAATCTCAAATAAATGACCCACGAGTATGAATAATTCACCAAGCTGGATTGAAATTCCAAGCAGAAAAGAAAGTACACAAGTGAGACGTGACCAACTAACTATCAAATGGAAATGGATTTCTGGTTGGTGGTTTCAACCCCTCTGAAAAATATGAAAGTCAGTTCAGAATATTATTCCCTGGAAAAATAAAAGCCATGTTCCAAGCCACCAACCAGATTTTCATTTTAGACCTTGCAATCCACATTTTTTTTGTCTTGTTCATCTCATGTTGAATGAATTCCCAAGTTTGTCCGCATGGCTGTTTGAACCCAAACTGGATCCATTTGGGCCACTTGTCTCCAAGGCAAACCATACGTGTGTGTTGTGAGGTTGACTTAATCTTTAAGAACCACCAAATTCCCCAAGAAATATAAAATCACTGGCAATTTGAGGGTATCACCAAGCTTGCTGGATACTAATTTAGTGGATATCATCAATTTCGGGTCTCCTAATGTTACTAATGTTCATGGTTAATCTTTGGTACAGTCGTAGTCCACAAAAAAATGATATTTTGCTGTTTATGGCTATTTTCCTAAAGGATTTTTCAGTCGCCATCCAAGATCATCCAAGGTTAGGGATGTTGGGGTATCCAACTCGATGTCTCTGGAGGTAAACCCGAAGTCATTTTCGGATACCCCAAGTCATCCAGTTGTCATCCAAGTCATTAGATCATTGGCTTTAAGGGAACATATGGGAACATCTAAACCGGAACACCATCGGATTTTCCCATGAAATAATGGGCTTTCCTGAAAAAAAACAAGTCTTCCCATATTGAATCATGAAACCTATGATTCCCATGAAATATCGGTTTCAATTGGTTTAAACCAATCCATTGAATCATGACTTCGTCTTGAAACCTATGGGTGACGACTGGAAAAATCCCGCATAGGAAATTTTCCAAATCTCTTCATCAAAATGAGCAGCTCGTTGGACCATGCTGTGCCAACAAAGGGCACCGTTTTTTTGGGTTTTGGGGGTGTTGCACTTGGAATTTCGATAATGATTTTGTGTAAATCCACTATGGTTAATGATGATGGTTATTATATGGTTAATGATGGTTAATAATATATCTGGTTGGTGGTTGACCTACCCCTCTGAAAAATGATGGAGTGAAAGTCAGTTGGGAAGGATGACATCCCATATATTCTGGGAAAAAAAAAAGGTTTAAAACCACCAGCCAGAAATGGTCGAAGATTGGGATTTACCCATTCAACATGGTGAAGAATAGGACATTGACTCCATTGCCGAAATTTCATGGAGGTTTCTCAACTCGGTACCCAAAAAACATCAAAGTCATTAGATCATGACTTAGTATTGAAACCCAGATTCGGGCATCCCCGCTTTTTGAAACCCCCCGCCAAATCTGGTTTAGGATGATTTTATCCACTAAGGAACGAACAGTTGACCCACTAAATTTGTCACTCCTGAAAGTAGCAGACGTTACACACTTTTGGACTAGCTACACTTTCAAAGTGGGCCTTTTGTTTGGTTCCTTCTTGCAAGTCTTTTCCGAACTTAGCCAAACATCTCCATATTTCGTGATTTCACTTCCAATTTTCCAGATGTGTTTAGTGGATTACTGTATCCTGTTTGTTATTTGTTCATCATGCTGGTCACGTTCCAATTCTCAACTAACTGCTTCCCCTGTTTGATGGCTAACATCACGCCTCCCCTCCCCTTTCCAAGCTTTCCAAGCTTTCCAAGCATCTAAAACGATGTGCCGGCAGCGAATCTGCGAAGGCATCCGCCAGCTTCAGAAAGCTTGCGTCATCACTGGAACCTTGGGCGATCAAACCACGGGGACTCCCATGACGGATCCTAACGGTGCTGCTATATATGGTGTGCCATGGATCCCATCAAGATACCCCCTTTATGTTAGCATATATACCAGCACCATGGATCCGTCATGGGTATAGATTCCCAAAGTAGTGGATTTCCCAATAACAAAATCGTCTTCAGCAAATCATAGCAAATCCAGGATTTTTTGTTGACCAGAAAGGTGGAAAGCACGGTAATTTTGAAGCCAACAAAAAATAATTCCAATTCTGGGAAGAGTTGTTGCGGGACCAGCAACATACTGCCAACCAATGAACATCTCCAAAAAACTTCAACTTGTCTATCCACAGGGCAATTTCAACCACCTAACCATGGCCATCAACCACAGTTCCAGCGTTTTGCGGCTTCTTTCCTCATGCATCACCCCGGTGACCCTTTTCACAGCAATAGATGACCACCAGCAAATATCATCACACCATTGAACATCATTAGACATGATTTAATATAAACTAGGCAACCGGTTGACTCGGCGCCCTTGTAAGGGTGACGAATTTGAAATTGTCATTTTTGAGGGTAAGAGAGAAAATGCTGGTATTTGCAGGAGTCGTCAAAAAATGTGTACAACATGGACATTCATTTCGATTGGCAGGCGTGTGACTCAAGAGTGAAAAATTGAATTTCGCCTGCGCGGTGACTCGATTTTTCTCTTCAAGGGTGAAAAAAAAACATTAGAATTTTATGATTTTAAGTCATCAAAATCACATCAATCAAGGCGGTATTCAGTCCTCTTTTTTTTCCACTGTTCGAGGTTAGCGGTGCCAGAGTGCTTGTGGCAGTGCTGATGCTACAGTCTGTAACAAGGCAGCGTTGTGACGCCAAGTCCAGCTGTAAGCATAACTGTACCGTTTTTGGTACACCTGTTGTTTCTTTTGTGGAGCATGGATTGAGGTCGCCATTTTTTTAAGTGTTTCCAAGTTCCATCAAGTTGTTGAGTTCCAGCAATAATGGTTCTAGAGGAAATCCAACCACGACCAACATAGGTTCACGCAGGAAATCCGCAAAAAGCGCGTCAGACAATGCAAGATGTCAGCAACGGCAACCTCTTCTGTAACGTAAAGGAAGTGCTCGATACGAACGTTAACATCCCCCCCCACCCCCCCTGACGATCATACGACAACAAATGCAACATGTGCCTCTTCCGTACCGTGAGGGAAGCGCTCGACACGAACGTTAACATCCCCCCCCACCCCCCCCTGACGATCATACGACAACATATGCAACCTGTGCCTCTTCCATGTGCAACACGTTAAAAAATCGAAAATTTCAAATCCTATACCCCCATTTCGGAAAACCTCATTTTTGAAATTTGCAACCCTTCCACGGGATCGTAAATGGCACATCTCAAAATCGACAACCCTTCCAAGGGCGCCGTATCAGCCGCATGCCATAAACTACCATTCAACTGGAAAGAAACTGCCTTAAACACACATTATCTTGACTGAAACCCTATCATGATCTATCATGTCTTTGGGAAACTCTGGGTAGCTCCTTGGCTCCCCATCTTTCCGCTCTGAATACGCATAGTAACCCCTGAAACGGATAGAACGGCAATTGGCCATTGAAGATAGCCCTATCCCATCTCATTGTACTAGTTGGCTGATAGGTTTCCCTAATATGTATGGGTTATGGGTTATAATAATGGGCAAATTATGCTAATTCACTAACCTGAATTAAGGCCATTTGGGGATGATTCCCCTTACTAACTATGTTTTCCAGTGAGGGAGAACGGTGAGGTCGTTACAATTTACCCAGAATAATCCCCATTTTTTCCAGGTAGTATACCTCCTTGCAAGAACCAATCAAGAAGTGTATTTCTAATGGCTCAATTCCATTGAATTTTCATGGCCAATCTTAGATACCCTGCAAAAAAATAAATTCTTTGCTGGTGAACGTAGATATTCCCATTAATACCAAAAGACTACAGGATTAAAGTATCCATGTGAGATTGACCTAGATTAGTAGGATTCGACTTTTGGACTCTTTTCTATCTTTCCAGGGGTCACCGAAGCCTATAAACCACCGTCAAAACCACCGTCAAACACCATTCAACTACAAGGTGCCCGCAAACCATAGCGAAGTTGTGAAACATAACTACAGCAGGTGAATTCTACTCTTTACGGTATATATATAATTAATATATATATATATATAATTAATATATATATATTATATATATACCATATATATATATATATGTATATATATATATATAATGTAAATATATATATATATGTATTTACCTAGTTAACTTCACGGTAGATATATGTAGATATAGTGAACTAGTTTTTGCGGAGTCTTTAAAGCAAGAAACATTTTCACTGGGGGCAGTCCACCAAAAATCATGGCCAATCTTGGATACCCTGCAAAAAATGACCAATTCTTAGCTGGTGAACGTAGATAATCCCATACCAAAAGACTATAGCGGATTAGTTTCTACCCATCTAGGATTGACCTAGATTTGTAGATCATTTCCATTAATCACCATTAATCATTAGTCACCAGAAATCACCAAGTCTAAACTTGGCCATGAAACTCTCTGCCGTCGCTTCCTCGGTCGAAGATCCGACAAAGCAGCGCACCGAAGAGCCCTCGCCGCTGTCACCGAAGCTTAAGGAGATCTGCGAGAAGCCACCGCAGGGCGCCTAGATGTGGGGCAGCCCCAAAGGCACGTGATGTTTGTTGCTTCATGAAGCCCATGAAAACTATATAATTATAGTTAATTAATGTTAATTATAGCTAAATATACTTAAAAGTATTACAAATTATAACCATAGTATTGGAGTTAGGTTCACCTTTTATTAGCTATCTACGGATGCCCCACTTTGGGGTTGGTAAATGTTCCAGAAATCTTCTATTTCAACTCAATGGCCGAACTGAGAAAAATTGGAGGTACCTACCATTTTTTAAGGTGGAATACTTCGGGCTGCATCCCACTTAACAAGTGGGTTCTACCCCAAGTTAGATTAATAGAATATCTCCACTTACATATGCATATATATATATATAGGTTGTGTATGGATTATTAACCATAAATGAAGGTATCCCATGAACTTTTTATGGTTTACAATGGAAAAGACATGAAACAAGTACCCTCTGGTAAACGTTTACATATCTATTCAACATGGCCCATAGAAATAGTTGATTTACCGAACTTAAAGATGGTGATTTTCCAGTTCGCAAACTGTAAACGTTTACCAGAGGATAAATCTCCATCAAACACCATTAAACCACCATTAACCACCATTAAACCACCATTAAACCACCATTTACCAGAGGATAGATGATGAAATTATGGCTATCCCCATGGGATACTTCCATCGCTAAGGGATGCTAAGGGATGCTAAGTTCACCATGGCCAGGCTACGTCTCCAACATCATCCAACAACAGGAAGACCAACCAATAGATTCTATTATTTAAAATAATCTATAGATTAATAGATGAATAAAGAAACATAGTATCTATTTAATCTAAAACCAATGTTAGTATTATAATTAAATCAGTCTAGAATGATTCACTAGATACTAACATTTATAGAACTAACCATAGATGAATGAACATGATTATTTGTTATAATAGAACTAAGCAATTTCTTTGTTGAAAGATAAACATGAACTTTTCACCAAACATTTACCAACCAAACATCTATTCACTCGATGATTTATCAAATGATCAGTTTATGATCAGTTAATCACCATTTATAAATAGATTAAATAATATAAAGGTGATTGAATAATAGAAAAAAACATCTTTTATCACCAAACATTTACCATCTGGTTATTTAACAGTTCGCCATGGAAAGATCAACCATTTTTAAGTTCGGTAAACCATCTATTTCGATTAGGGCCATCGAAAAACCATGGCGAACTGTCAGCCATAACCAGAGGCTACCACCAATATATATTGGATTTTCCCATTAAAACCTCCATTTAAAACCTCCATTTATAAGGGATTTTCCATGGTTATGTCAGCCATAACCAGATGGTATATATATATATATATATATTCTACCAGGGTACCACCATGAGGTGTTAGAAGATGATCCCCAAATTTGGGCATCAAAATCATCAAACCCTGGCACCATAAGACTTGAACAATGGCTATCACCCTGACCGATTCCGTAACGGTCAAACACCGTTTGGGGTTGTGCTTAAAACATCTGGGTACCCTTCAGTAAACAATAGATTCCATACCCTCTGGTAATTTAACATAGCTATTGAAAATGGCCATTTATAGTGAGTTTTCCCATTAAAAATGGTGATTTTCCATAGTTATGTTAGTTTACCAGAGGGTACCATCTTTAGACGTCCTTAAAAACCCAGTGGCTTGTCCTCATTGAAAACAAGGAAAATAATGGAAAATATGTGTGACTATGATCTATACCATGGTGTGGAGTGTACACAAAAAACGTATGATTTATCACTATTGATATGATCACCCATGTCCATAGACTCAGAAATCATCCGCCAAAAAACCGGGACCTTTTTTGGGGTTCTTGCGGAGCACTTGGGATGATCAAACCACTATGACGGCAAGTATAACCCCAAACCAAACCCAAAAAACCAGGGATCAAGGCTGCTCACAATACACATACAAACGGTAAAATCACAAAAAATCCTTGGTTGGAGCAAGCCTCAGGATTTGTAATATTTCTTGCTTAATAAATAAATATAAATATATACAGTATATATATATTACATACTTACACAATCGTACAAACAAGGATCGTCCAGCGATAACTTCAAGCTTCGCGAGCCGAGATGCCCACACATCCTTAAAGGACCAGTACCAACCTCAGTCCGTTTGTGTCGCAGTTTCTCCAACTTTTGATGGCTTCTTTTAGATCATCTTTGATCGAGGCTTTCCATAAATGGGGGTACCCAATAGTTGGTTGGTTTATTTCATGGAAACACCATCTATAAGTGATAAATGGATATAAATGGATAATGACTGGGGGTAGCCATATTTTAGGAACCCACCATATCTATTGGTTCCAATTGCAACCCCATTTTGGAAGAAATCTTGCCTGCTTCGTCGATAATTTAGGTCAACAGTTGGGTTGGTTGCTTCAACCTATACAGCCAGTATGAATACATAAAAAAAAAAACAATCATCCAAGGTATCGCAGTAAAGTAAAATCATCCAAGCTTTCCCTGTTCCATCTTTAGTGGGATAGTTCCGATGTTAAAGGAAATTCATCAAAGATCATCAAAGAATAATTTTCCAAAAAACAACAACTCAAAAGCTGAGTGTGTGGAGACCTACTGTAATTTATCCATCCAGTGCCCCAGTGCCACGGCTTTCTGATAACCCAACCCGGTCGTCCTCCCAGTGGGTACCTGGGGGAGTAGCATTTTCTATTTTTTGTTGGCTGAAAAACCTCCAATTTTTCATGCGTGAATCCTATCAAATTCCAATTGATATTCTTTTTTTTGGAGGAGTGTTACTCTCTCTATTTACATATGAACAATGGTATATACCATCTGGTTATTTGACAGTTCGCCATGGAAAGATCCACCATTTTTATCCATATTTAAGTTCGGTAAACCATCTATTTCTATGGGCCATCTATACCATGGCTATGTCAGCCATAACCAGATGGTACCACCAATATATATTGGATTTTCCCAATAAAACCTCCATTTATAAGGGATTTTCCATGGCTATGTCAGCCATAACCAGATGGTACCACCAATATATATTGGATTTTTCTAATAAAATCTCCATTTATAAGGGATTTTCCATGGCTATGTCAGCCATAATCAGATGGTATATATATTCTATCACCTTTTTTTCAGCACACCCCTCAGTTGTGTTCATCTGGGCGAGTTCATCATCCTCATCATCCCATTTCTCGATATTTCTGCGTCTGCGCCTGAATTTGTTGATGAACTCCCGACATTACCCTCTGGTAGACATACAAAAACTATGGAAATTATCACCATGTTTAATGGGTAAATCACAAAAAACTATGGAATTTATCACCATTTTATAGCTGGATAAATCAACTATTATTTAACTATGGCCATGGCTTCCAGTTAGCAACCTGTAAACGTTTACCAGGCCGGGTACAGGTTGTTTGTTTGACAGGATACTCACGGATACCCATCATGATCATCTCCCATTCTTCGGTCAGGTCATGTGGGGAATACGCTCACCATGACTTCTCGCACACACACATATCCCACTTATTATTGATTATATGTTCCATGAATATCATTTCCAAAAATCAATGGAACCAATTATATGTTTCTAAAACAAATGTACCATTAATTATACGTTATATATTTCCAAAGCTCTAATTGTTTCTAAAAACAATGTACCATGAATTCATTATTCATTGATGCATCCCAAAAAATATGGTTGAATCACCATGCGTATTACCATATGATGGTTCACTCCAGTTTTAAGTGGTGTTTTCAAAATCACCTTAAAGTTCTTGGGAAAATATATCCTCCCAAGTCGTAGAGTCGTGAAACCATGGTTATACCTCACATGTTTCACCCCCAACTGCTGATATTGCTTCTTGGATTCTTAGAACCCCAGGGATTGTGACAAATCCTACAAAAAAAAAAAAAACATGAAAAATCCCCATTATACTGGTTGGTGAATGTGATTTCCCGCATGGATTATGGTAATCCTCAACATATGATCATCATTCAACAGGGATTTTTCAAATAATGGTTAATTCGCACTATCATCACATAACATGAATATGTGTGATGATAAAATCCTTTCTTCAATGGTTATACCCATTGACTTTAACCCCCACATATCTATAATTCATTGGTTAAATCCCTATTTGTTCGAGCTTTCACTATTCTTCAACCATTTGGTGACCTCCGTACAAGGTGCTTGCCCCATAGTTCGCAAAAGTTGGTAAACATCCTAATGACTATGGTTTATGATACTTATAGCTAAAGTTACCCTGGGGCAAATGACCATAGATGTGGAAAATCACCATTGTAATCGGTAATTCATCCATAAATCGGCGATGTTCCACATCTATGGGGTAATGGGGTTTGTGAAGCAACAAACATACCGTTTGGGGGCCCCACATTGCACTAGGTGATTTCCATAGCTATATTAGTTTACAAAAGGGTAATCTGGTTGGATGTTTCAACATGCTTTCAACCCAATATATTTTACTACCATCTGGTTATTTAACAGTTCGCCATGGAAAGATCCACCATTTCTAAGTTCGGTAAACCATCTATTTCTATGGGCCATCTATTTTCCATGGCGAACTGTCAGCCATAACCAGAGGGTATATCAACGACACATCTCCAGTTTTTCCAGGTGAAATCAATCACCATATCACCATTTTCCCGTGGTTTTTTTGGGCAAATTTCACCATGTTTCACCTGAAATCATCGCCAAATCACGGCTCTTGGGCATCATCTGCACTCTCTCCACGTCCACGTCTGCCTCCACAAAGGCGTCCTGGCGAACTCGTCCCTGGCCATTGGTGAAGCCACTGTTGCCCGACCTGGCAGCGACCCGGACCCTTTACCCGTCGACCGACGTTTCGGAGATAGTGGGGATAAAACATGTACATATCATACATGTACATATCCATAAATTGTGTATGGCTGGGGATGGATGGTGGGGTTGAAATGGAATCCTTGAAATCAGACGGCCGTGGGCATTCACTCATTTTGTCAGCCATCAACCACCTGTGAACAGGGACTATGATTCACGCTGCACTCGCTCACTTTTCCGGCCAGAGATGAAGCTGCTGCTTCAAATCGCTTACACAACTGTCCTCACCAAATGAGCGATGAAGGTCAAACTGCCAGCTTCTTCAAAGCTGCATGTTCCAATCAGCGTTCAGTTTGGTTCCCCTATCCCTGCAAGGCACTGGCCACCTGTCTGCCCACCAAAGCAGCCATTGAGAATGGGTATGGCTGCGCCCGCAAGGTCATGAAGACATTGTCGTGGTCCACTCCTGCCAGGCGGACATGTGGTCGTGATGTACGTGAACAAATGCCATGAAGTGAACTGCACTGCTTATTCAAAGGAGAAAGGTCACAATGGTTGTACAAAATAGTTGTGGGCTTCTTCCAGCGTTCTCCAAATTGACAAAAATCTAAATGACAGAAGTTTGGATCATAGGTTTTGCAGAAACGTTGCAAATGCTGCATCTCCCATGCCATGCTTGTGGCCGGATTTTCCAATGCATATGGTATATTCCAACGTTCACACAACTCCAAAATACGAATGGTGAAGCGAAACAATGCATTTCCCAGAGCAAGCTTCTTGCGGTCGCTTTTGTTCAAATTTGGCAGCCCCCACAAATGGTCTGAATCTCGCAATGGCCCAGGTCCCAAACCATCATGTTTTCTGGCTCGGGAAAAGGTAGTGCATGGCATGCCCAACCAAACAAAAGAAACACGTTGATTGCGGATCCAAAAAGACAGCTTACGTTCCACCAACCGATCCAAAACATCATGAGAAGGGAATAAACAAATGTCAATAGGGAAAGTCGCAATGCCCTGACTGCACAAAGCCGATGAAACTCTGGCTGTACCAGCAAATATTTCTAGAGCAAAACGGTGAGGCTTGTGATTGCAGCTGAAAACATCTACTGTAAGAGGATCTAGTTTAGCTTCGGAGCTACCTTTCCGCTGAAGGCCTTGAACAGGTTGCGGTGTGACCAACGACAGTACGCCAGATTTGCAGGTGAGAGTTGGTTCAAAATCTGCTGGATCTTTCCCACCTTCGTGTACCGGCGTACTGACTGGTCCGTCTGCCACCTCCCTCGACTCTTCACACCTTGATGGTCTCGCTCCTTTGCATTCAAGTCGTCTGCTGCTCCTCCATGACGGAGTTGATATGGGTGCAACCCCACAAGCCGCAGACGTTCCCCTGCCGCACTCATCTCCTGTCTGAAATCTGCTGCATCGAAAGGGAAGATCTTTGAATCCTTCTTTGGAAGAGTTCTCACATGCTGATGCAGGACGTCTCCTATCCAGGTCCGCTCCCGACTGTTCAGAGGGATGCTGTTGTCGAAGATTCCCACTTTGTCTGGGCGAAGCTCGTCGAAGTCCCTGATCACTATTGCATACCATTTGTACTGGGGTCCAGCCTTTGAAACTGGAACCACTAAGTTCTTCTTCAGCAAATCGTGACTCTCTCCCGGCCTCATGTAAGTGTCGAAATCCAGAATGAGCTTCAGAGCATGCAGGCGCTTCCCCTTTGCCAAGAGAATCATGCACAAACCGTACGCGACCAGTTTGGGCAAGGGAACCCTGCTCTCTGGAGGACGCTCTTTGCGCCACCCACGCAGAGCCTTTCTGGACCGGACGAGCTTTCCTTTGAGTGATCCGTGATGGAACTCCACACTTGCCAAGATCTTCTCCCCTTCGTTCATGGGCTTCCCCTCGAAGAACAGCACGTCCATGTAGTCTGCTAGGTTGGCATCGGTGCTTGCTGAAGGGGGCAAGTCTAGCCCTTGTTCCTGGCAGAAACTCAGAAACTTCTGGTAATAATTCCCATACTGCTCCTCTATAGCTTTGCTCACTGATCGTCTCTCCAAAACAGTCAGTTTGTTGCCGCGAGCAAGGCGGCCGAGTTCCGGCTGAGAAGAAGAGCGACTGGCCAGAGTCCTGACTACTACTGTACGTTTCATTGCTGCAGGCTGTCTGATAACTGAAACCCTCTTCTTGTTCTGCTGGTTTGACACTGCCTTCATTACCTTCCTCACTCTGCTGCCACTCCCCACTGCCGGCATGGCCTTTCTGCAGACCAGTACCCGGCTGGATGTGGGTTTCGACATCTCTATCAGACCAGGGGGCCTGATAAGTGCCCGGGCGGATTTGCCCCCGGGATGGACCATCTGATGGGTTTCTTTCTGAAGGAACCCAACGCAACCGAAGGGAAAAACCTCCAGCCAGACTAAGAGCCCCAAGTTGCTGCGTGACTCGAAGCATACTATAGTTGGTTGCCCGTCCCTTACATGAACACATAGCTAAAGCCAGATTATCCACCAGGATGAGATGTCTTTTACCCCGAGAATTACTGGATCGCGTCAATCGCCGCGCAGCCAAAACCAAAGTACGCCCTTCTTTGAGTGTGATGTGCTCTTTTGTGTCTGACCATCTGCCCATCAAAACTGTCTTCCAATATGTAGGATCAACAACTTCAGCAGGAACTTCTGGGAATTCACCATCAGGCATATAAAGATCGTTGAAATCAGGATATACAGGAAAAGCCCTAGCTGTACGAACATCCCCCAAAACATCCCGTCCTTGAGCACGATTTCTAGGCTTCCAGTGTGCTGGATCCAGATGCTTGAATCTCCATCGTTCCTGCCACCGTCCCATGCTGCGTATTTCTTGAGTGTCCATGCGCCTCTCGCAGATACCATACCCTATAGGACTTGCATCCGTACAAGTTACTGTGTCAGACCACTCCAATCGTATGTTCCCTACAAGCAAGGGCACCAAGCCAATGAAATTTTTAACCTCTTCTCGCTCCCCAGGTCTGAGCCTTCTGGGTGCACAACCGCTCTGCACAAAGTCATGTAAATGTCTGAAAGTACACATACCGCAACGATTCAAAACGAAAATAACGACTGAGTGACCTATAAGTTGCTGCACCAGCTTCCCAGATACCACGTTGCCAAGCAAAAACTCGAAAGCTAAAATACAATTCCATGCCCTGGATTTCGTTGGAGTGATTGCACCAGTCTCCCCATCTATAACCCCCCCCAAAGTTTGAAAGTAGGTGTTTGCTTCCTCATCCTCATGTAATGAAAAACCCATGGATTGAAGCTCCTCGGCAATCTTTCTCTTGCCATCATCTGCCAGCTCGCGCGACGTAGACAAGCAATGCACATTGTCGCAGTAGGGCATAGCAAAGACATGCCCCTTGCGCAGCTCAGGAGGTGGGTTACCATCTTTTATAAGGTCATATGGTGAAATACCCAAAGCCCGAATGCTAGCTTGTTCATGCAACTGCTGTATGATATAGAAGCTCCACGAAAAACCCATGGGCAACACTGTGATACAGGGGATGAAGGAAGACAAGTGGGAGAACTGACCAAAATCCGCGCCAAAAACCTCAACAGCATCTTCACGAGAAAGGTCTTTGTGAAGGCAGAAACACTCTTCCATCCCTTTCGGGAGTTTTGCAGCATAAAAACAGTCTTGAATGTCCGAACCGGCAACAAAAAGTTTTTCTTCTGACGGCAGCTCAAGTTCTGTCAATGCAGCTAGTGACCCAAGTCTAGTGTGAGGGGGGTCTTTGAAGGCATAGTTAATAGCACGGCAATCCAGAATAAGTCTTTGCCGGTCGACTCTCTTCCCGTCGACAAACTTGGGTTTCTTCGTAACTGTAAAAGCACCAACTCGACCACGACAGTTTGAGACGAGCCCTAAAATGCCACACTTGTGAAGGTGTTTAAGAAACTTTAGGTACCTTTGATGATCGTATAAAGATGGATCATTATATGTACGAACAGAGTGAGCCTCATTTGCAACCATTGCCCACCTGTCCCCATCCAACATCATCCAGTCCTCAAAGTTGCACACCATGCTACGCAGAGGCTCATCCAGAACTGCCGATAACTCCACGCCAGCCACTTTTCCTGAAGGAAGACTGAGCTGCTGCAGGATCATGTTACAAACGGACCCCACACCAGGTTCGGGATTTGTATACCCGTCACTGATTGCCCGAAGCGCCCTAAGGGCTTCCGAACAGCTTGCATTTGGCGGAGGGGCTCCAAACGCTTTGATGCTCTGTACAATGGACTTCAAAGCATCCCTCTGGTTCAAAGGCAAATCGCCAATATCTCCAGTGCACCATGGTTTGAAACGCTTGCCACCACCATAAAAAAGAGAATTCAAACTGTCAATGGCCAGATTTACGCGTTTTGTAACAAAACCTCTTTTCTGAATTCGTTGCCTGACAGCCCGACACACATCTGGAGCCGCCCCCCCCGCCCTTAGGCTGGGCTTTAGGGGGGGGGTTAGGCTTGTCCTTCCCTTTTCCGCCTTTGAGTTCTCCTTGCTTTCTCTTCTCTTTTAAGATCTGGGACTCTTGGTGCATACGATCAGCAACATATTTGGTGAGCTCAGGAACCACGATAGCTCCGCCAGGCCTGTATGATGTGCCCATAAAATGGTCTGCGCCCGCATATGATGGGTTTGTGCCCCCATAGGAATAAGCTTCAGCCAGCAATTGTTTACGGCGAATGAGCAACTCGAAACTTGCCAAATTGGCAATGTTCAAACTGTCATATGATATCGCCAAATCCAAGGCCCGGGACAGAACCTCATTCTCATGGACCACACGGTCGTTTTCGGGGATACGACTTTGTTGAATCCAACCCAAATGCTGACCAAAAGCACTTTCAGAAACCTGAGCAACTGCCTTCAAATAAGACAATGCCGTTCGAGGCTCAAGAGGCCAATCATCAAACTCAACCTGCTGTAATTCATTTACAGTTTCTTTGAAATTGCGCATCCTCTCACCTGAAGCTGCATACTTGACCTCTAGAGTCCTAGCATCCTCTCCTGCATGGGTATCCTCTCCCTCGGCGGCAACTGAACCACGTGCCAGTTGGATTCGGCCCTCACAAAACTCTGGAATGCTGTCAACAGAAATATGATGGATGAGCACTGGCCGGGTAACATTCTCCGAGTCAGTCATAGGTGTCAAACCCCAAACGCCATCACGCGCATGACCAGCCGCAAGTTGGACCCTTTCACCTATCTTATGCCCAGATATCATTTCAGCCAAAACCCAAACCATCTGGTTACCAGCCTCAACCAACCCAAGATCAGGGAGTCCTCTTCGAGCCCTCTCTGCGCCCAACTCCAAGCGCCCCGCAGCCAAAATACGGTTAAGATCAGCCACCGACATAGGTGCGAATCCATACACGCATCCAGCTGGAATAGCACCAGGGATCGTGCCATCATCAGGCCCGACTTGGAAATCAGAAAGATCTGGGTTGCTGGAGTCACAGGTCTCAACATAGGAGTCCCCGTCCGGGGTATAGATGAGATATTCCAAACCAGAAACATGACCTAGAATCAAGCGGGTATGATAGAGCACTGGCACCTCTCCATAATTGTGATAGACCAACTGACCAGGTTGAAAACTCATGGAGACGACTAGTATGTCAAAGCAAGCCCCTTCCTAGCTCCCAACACACCTTTGCTTTTGCCTTTGACGTTGACCTGAATCTCCTTCTCGTGTCCAGTATGTGAATCTTTCCAGGTAAAACGACAAACCAATGCAAAGTTGCTGACCAGGAGGATAATGGCCACCAAGACAATCAAACCAATCGCTAACCAAGGAACACTTGAATTTCCAGGGGTTTCCAACGGCCCACTACAATGGCAATCACAAACACAAGGTGTCACCCGAGGCTCAACAGCTCCAGGGGAGTTGAAATACCCTCGCAACAGCCAACCACCAGCAAAGGAAACCGATGACAATAGCCAGCCGTTGAAATCCATGGCACAACTCAGTTGAAATGGAATCCTTGAAATCAGACGGCCGTGGGCATTCACTCATTTTGTCAGCCATCAACCACCTGTGAACAGGGACTATATATATGTATATATATATATATATTATAGACGTTACGCAGTTACACATGTATATATATATACACGGATAATGAAAACATTTGTATATGTAGATATATATACGGATAATGAACACATGTGTATATATATATATAATGCACATGTATCATGTATCTGTCTATCGATCTGTATATCTATATCTATCCAATCCATCTATATACATATGAGAATTATATGAATATAGTTACATTAGATTTTATTATTTGGGTAAGTGGCTGCGGCTATTGCTATGGCTCAAAATGGTGAGGACTAGCCTTTGGGACTGATATCTTCAACCATACGAATCCTCAAATGAGAACGTATCATTGCTATACAATGGGATATAACATGAAGATCCTACTATGAGTGGCTATGGCAAAAAAACAAACTCCATGGGTTCTATTCAATCTTCAATATCTTCATTGATTGTTTTTCATGGCTGAATCATCTAAAATCACATAAAATCATATAACATCCCTATCTTTCAAAGTCAAATCCAGATCTGGTTGGTGGTTGTAAGCATCTTGAAAAATATGAGTTCGTCAATGGCAAGGATTATCCCATATATTATGGAAAATAAAAGCCATGTTTGAAACCACCAACCAGAGATTGTTTATCATTGAACTGTTCATTTCAAGCCGCTTAGAACACACGTCTTCAGCAGTCCCAGCTGCGCCCATTCGCCGGCATCGGTGTATTGCACATCGACGGATCCGTCGTCTCCGGCCCGAAGCACCTCAGGGAGTTTTTCCGGAATTTCCTAAAGAATGGACACCGGATAGCCTCTGGTTATGTCAAAATAGCTATTGAAAATGGCCATTTATAGTGGATTTTCCCGTAAGAAATAGTGATTTTCCATAGCTATGTTAAATTACCAGAGGGTAGCTACAGTAAGTTGCCCTTTTTTAGTGGCTGAATTCATCTGAATTCTATGGTTTATGGTAGCTGGTTTTTTATGGTTGACCTACCCCTGTTGAGCCCTACCCCTCTGAAAAATGATGGAGTTAGTGAAAGTCAGTTGGGATGATGACATTCCCAACTGAATGGAAAAATAATCATGTTCCAAACCACCAACCAGGTAGATATAACTATAGTTAATGGTGGTTATAATGGTTTATAAACCAACTTATAACTGGGGGGGGCCATCCTGCAGGACACATGGCTGAAATCGTTTTTTTTTAACAAAACAATGGTGATTTCATGGGATTTGATGGGATCCAGGATACTTAACCAGCAGAAATGGGGCATTGAACCAGCAACAAAATGAGATTTGCAGTTGATATGGCTGATTTATGATAGCTAAGATGGTAAAAGGTTCGCTAGCTGAGTTCTATGGTTTATTATGGTTTATTCATATACCGAACTAGCTACTGGGGCTTTTCTTGCAACTTACAACTGTGGGGGTTACAAATACTTCCAGATTCAATACACATATGAGACCTTGATGAATGGGTCCAGTACTAAACCAAGGTTTCTATGGGGGTGTTTAATATTTGGATTGGGGAATGAGAGTAATTTACAGTAATTGGACTGACTACACTGTTTTATCAAGAATTGAACTGAATGGATACAAACATATCTAAATCCAACAAGAGCATTGCTTAAGGTTTGTTTATGTTTACGTCATTGAGTTTTAAGTTTCAATCATTTTCTGCCGTTTCATCAACGAAGCAATCTGGGATCCGAGGGAGGCCCACTGAGGGAGAAAGGGACCGGGATGTGGTGTTCATGAACTTGATGGGATTCAAAGGGAGCCGGGAGGAACCATTGCCACCATTGAAAATTATATATATGTATACAAATTATCAGTACACATCATATTTTATCAGACATTAAAGTACATGAGCTTCCAAGAACGTAAGAGATATCAGTCCATTTGGCCTGAAAGATGACCTTCATGCGTTTCGCTTGTGGCACTGGCAGCTGCCCCAACGACAGGCAGTGACAAGCTATAAATCATGTCAGCATGGGAACTTGTGACAGAATCTAGGAATGTAGGAGCCTGTGCCTTTGGTGATCAGTGCTAGTGTACCCCTACATCCACCAGTTTTTCATCGGTTTTCACATTAACGAATTGCCTTTTTTTGGGGGGCAGAATCCCACATGTTGGGACAAGCCCGATCGCAGACCCCTGGGTTAATTCTGGTTGATGCATCTCTGATTACCATAAATGGTCAAGCAGGGCCACTGGAAATCCACCATAAATGAAGTTTCTCATGGGAAATTCATCTATTGTGGGACTCTCAATTGCTTTGATTCGCGCTCGGGTGGCCTCAGCGTGATAAGATCTTCCGTCCTTCAGACCTGAGATCGGACATAGACCGGGACAACATGTGATGCAATATTTGTAGATCTCCCAATATGTGTATATAAGGTTCTTTATGCATAATAACATATATATATATGATATATATATATGATATATATATGATATATATATGATATATATATATGTAGATATCTATAGATATCTATAGAAGTTTAGAGGCATTCATAAATTGCATGAGATTGGTATAATTTCACGGCATCTGAATGGGGTCTCAAACTTTGGTACGTCCAACAAAAAAACAGAGACAGACGACAAAACTTAAGCGTAATTAAATCTTATATAATGTTGTAGATACATAATACATAGTAATCAAAATTTCATAGTTGCCTTTCTTGCACGAGTAAGTCCTCGTCTCTGTATTGAATCTCTTCATTTTTCCAGAAGGTAGGGCTGAAAATCAACAAATACCCTCTGGTAAACTAACATAACTATGGAAAATCACCATTTTCAATGGGTAAATGCACTATTTCAATGGCCATTTTCAATAGTTATGTAAACGTTTACCAGAGGGTATTCCCAGGGGAGGGTCAAATTTTTGGACAACACAACAACAAAGGCAGCTGCCTGACGTTCACTCCATTGTTTCATGCGAAAAAAATCCGAAACCGGAAATCTCCATCCGACTCCATCCCCATGATGGGAAAACAGGATGGACCTCGGTGAACATATGGTTAATACACTGTTAATATAATATGGTTAATGATGATGGTTATTATATGCATTAAAATATGGTTAATGATGTTTAACTGGTTGGTGGTTGACCTACCCCTCTGAAAAATGATGGAATGAGTGAGTTCGTCAGTTGGGATGATTTTACATTCCCAACTGAATGGAAAAAACATGTTCCGAACCACCAACCAGTTATTGCAATCCCAAATTTCAATTCGTCAATTCGTCAATTGGCCGCGTGATTTTTCATGGTGAAATCCGCGAATTCAGGAAATTCTGTGGATCAATATTTTCCTCTCTCATCCAGTTGAATTATCAATATTCAATGATCAATTATTAACATTATATATCAATATAAATGAATAACGATCATTCATAAATGATAATTTAGTTCAACAAAAACAAAAACTTATAACCTATTTTTTTTAAAATCAAAATACATACATGGGACTGCCCAATTCTTGGAACACAAAAAAATACCCGAGTAAAAACACAAAAACAAATCAACCACCACTTATCAATATCTCCATAATTTGATTGTTAAAACATGTTGAAATTATTTGAAATCCCTACAATGAGGCTTGAATATGTTTATTACCCATCTAATCCAAGGATAATAATTAAAAAACAAGTGCATGGCTAAGATCTATCCAACACATCATATTTTGTTGGTGAAATCTCTATTATTGATGAGGAACTTCCTTTTTTGTTGCTTCGATTCCGACTTTGTTGGCGAAGTTAGCAATGAACTCACCACTAGAGACTGCCGTCCAAGAAACCCAAGTGACAACCACCGGAGTAGGTCAACCAACGCCTATCCTGGCATTGTAAGACTTGGGAGATCGTTTCGAAATGTTTTTTTTTGGGTTCATCTAGGGAAATGTCTGAAACATTGGGAAGTTAACCGTGCGAAATTTGTGAATAATGAAGACCTAATCATAACCATGCAAATCTAACAAATGAACAATTGTACATTCTGCTCTTTGCCGATGCTTTGTACCCAACATTCTCTGAAGGTAGTTGGACCCACATTGATAGCAAAAGATTGAAACATTCAACGATCCACCCGTCCACTGTTTCGGGGAACACCCCTTTTATGGATCCCCCAGTCGTAGTGGATTTCCCATTGGTAAAATTCAAAAATTGGAAAGAAAAAGGTATCATCTATACAAATTTTGCATCATGTCAAAGAACGGGACAATCATGGGAACACCTTCAAAAAATGTTATGTGTAAGTATACCTATATATATATGTAACATTATATGTGTATAGTAAATATATATGGTTATATGTATCACATTATTTGCGTCACCAATGTATTTCCATATTTATCAAGTGCTGGGTGCATGAATAAGCTGCGGACATCCTTCATATTCAAATTTACCATAGTATATATATATTTCTCTCTCTCTCTCTCTCCATATATATATATATACTTATACATCTAAATATATACTTATACATCTATATATATATATATATTTATATATAGATATAAATCCACATATATAAATATATAAATCCATACCTATATAAAAAATCGATATGTATATATATATACATACAGCATATATATATGCATATATACATCAAATATAAATACCGATATATGTATATATAACGATATATATATAAATAAATAATAAATAATGTCGGATTTGGATTAGTGCGATGGGTCGGTTTTGTGTCAAGTTTTTTCAGGCATTGTTTTTCACAATATTTTTTCATTTTTAAAATTTTCAACATTTATTTTTAAATCCGCCCGCACAATATTTTTTAAATTTTCACAATATTTTTTCATTTTTTATTTTTTGTGGAATCGCGCAATGTTTTCTACATTGCGCCATTCTTGTGGTCCGCTAGCGCCTGTAAATCCCCTCATCCTTCATCCTTCCTAATCCAGATTGCAGTACCGCGCAGTAAATTAGATGATGAGGTTTGGGGGGCGCGGGCTCTGCAGCTCCATAGTCGGTTCGGATTCTGGCGATGATCGTAACATCACCTGTATCTCCATGAAGGAATATGAAGGATCAAAATTAATCAAAATTCGCCACCCCCTATGAACAATATGTTGATGGGGGGTAGTAATAACATCAACTGTGTCTTCATACTCAATGCCGGCGAAGGTCTCCCCCCAACGTTGCAGTCAACCGTCATTCCCGCATGGAACTACGCCCCCCCAACTGCTAGGAAAAGTCACCCCAACTGTTTCGCCCATTGTAAGCGCAGCACGAAAATGAAAAAGTACAAAAACAACTATCATCCCAAATGTGCAAAACACCATGAGAACGCAAGTCACCCCAATGGTTTCAAACTATGGAAATCTATGGGCAATTATTTACATTAATTAGTCATTAAGAATGAACATATTTCATCAACAGAAATGGGAACTTGCAGAAGAACAGCGTGAAGCATGGGAATTTTAAGCAGCAGACATTCGGATGCAGAATGATGCAGAGTTGATTTATGACGGCTGATGGGACATCCCTGTACGAGTTCACCGGGTCAGGTTGGGGCATGTGATTTTCTAGTAGAAGATGTAGGTTGTATAAATTAGGGACCCAAGAGAATCTAGCAGCAAACATCAAACATCATCAAGCCAAATTGAAGTATCCTAGAAAAATGGGCACGTATAAGAAGTGCATTTTCGAAGCTATGTATAGCATTTTTCCTTTGAAAAACACAGCCGTACTTGAATTCCATAGTTTTGCAATTACGATATCAAACATGTTGAAAACCACTTCAAGCTAGAGCCCAACATCCAACCCATCGAATTTCCACTAAAAATTGGGTACCCCCGAATTTCATGGTTTTGAACATCGTTATCCCCAATCAAGTTGCCATAAATTGGGTATCCCTGTTTTCAGACGCACCCAAATACACTATGACCTACCAGTGCCTCTCCAGAAAATCAAGGACCACTAGAAAATCTATGAACGTACTCCCAGAGATGCTAAATTTATGCTTCAGGATGTTGGGCACCTAAACTCTCCAGAAAATCAGCATCTTACGACTCAGAGGTCTCCAAAAGTTGTTCTTTAGAAAATTGGAGGAACTTTGAAAGCATCATTTCAGAAAATTCGAAGTTTTCGAAGGGCAGAAACGAAACCCTCCTTAGGGGGTTAACCCCCCTGAAATCCTAGAGGAAACCCAGACCGGTATGATGGGACCACATATATTTTTCGAAGGAATTGACAGATTCTTGTTGAGGTTTGAACTCAAAACCATGAACATTGGATGACTTCAATGGCCATTTCAGGTACCTAAACTGAAGCTAGCAATACCTTGGGGTATTTTGGGGCTCTTTCATTCCCTTACATAGGTGCGCCATGGACGGGCCAGGTAGCAACCTTGACACCTACTGAAACCTTGACAATTCTGCGTGCTTTTGCCGAGCGGTTCGCTAGCGCCTGTTTTCTACATTGCGCCATTCTTGTAGTCCGCTAGCGCCTGTAAATCCCCTCATCCTTCATCCTTCCTAATCCAGATTGCAGTACCGCGAGGGAAATTGAAGGATCTGTCGTGGTCGGTTTCGAATGGTTTCGAGCACCAACTTTTTTCGGCTTCCGACGATTCAAATCGCATCACCTGTATCTCCATGAAGGACTATGAAGGATCGAAATTAAACAAACTTCGCCATCCCCTGTGATTAATCAGTGACCGGCCCCTGTGTTGCGCATGTCAAGCCCTATTCTCAAAAGTATGGAAAAACATATCATTAAACCTATCACAAATGAACAGGTAATGTCAACATAATTTGTAGTTGGACACCGACTGCGGCACGGCCGTGGCACGAAATGTTTTTTTTTTTTTTTTTTCGTTTTTTGCGTTGTGATGTGTTTGGGAGGGTGGGGTGGGGGGGGTGTCATAAAGTCCTGCATCTACGTTCTTATCGACTTTCTTCGGTAAACACCCTTCATGCTACGTTCTACCATATTTTTCTCTTGTTGGTCAGGAGTAAGTTCCTTTTTCCCTTTCTTGTTGGCCGTCGCTTTCGGGGCTGGAGTTTTCAAAGGTGCCCCAAACAAATCATCCGCATCAGTGGGCTGGTTTGCCATTTTTCCAGACAAAGAATTTGCCAAAGCTTGTCGGACAGCGTTGTTTTGTTGAACCCTGGCAGTGCCAGAAAGGGTGGGCCCATATGAAGTCTCATGCCCTCGCACATCCTCCACCCGGTCAAATACCTTGTAGAGGCGTTTGCGAGGGTTGTCCTTGTCCTGCCCAGGTTCAAGACATGGATCACTGGATGCTGTACTTCAATTGGGCACTGATCATGTGGCCTGTGAATCTCTGCTGCAAATTGAATTAAATGACTTTGAAGTGATGCGGCCTGTGGGTGAGGTTTTCCAACCTGGCCTCATGAGCAATCAATATCGGTGAAGGCTATCTTGGATAATTTTACACTGGGGGCCCGACAAGAGAAGATTTTCTCTTTGACCCAGTCGGCACCATACTTGATCTCGAGTTCATCCAGAGGACGCTCGATGAACTTGGCCTTTTCCCGCCGGTGTGACTGCCTCAAGTTGTAACATATAACAAAAGGAAGAACTGCGAGATATTTAGGAATCTAGGAGCCCAACTCTTTGTAGAAGGCTTCGATCTTCATGGATTGCACTGATGGGTCAAGAAGGAAAGTCTTGAGGAATTCAAACCTGAGTGGGCTTGAAAGACTAGTCCAACAAACTGCTTTGCATTGAATGCCGCGATCAATATCATATAGATAGGGAGACATATGAATAAACAAATTAAACCGATAAGGAGCTTGCCAATGGAATCCTGCGCGTTCCACTTCTCAATCAGTCCGGGGGGTAGGTCCTTTGCACTTTCCAACCTTCTGTTCAAAGCATTGTACTGCCTACGTCTCTCCTCAATAGGCATTTGCGATGGGTGTGTCAAATTGGCAACTGCTTCACGCTGTTCTGGTGTCAGCACCCGCACCGTCAACTTCTTCTGTGGATTCGAAGCTTCTGCGTCCGGCTTCCTAAGTATGACGAGACGTGCCAAGAGGGAATATCAAGTCAATAGGCAATAAGGAATAACAAGTGAAGTGGGATTTGGCAAGATCAGAAAGGCAACTATAATATGTTCAATTCAAAACTAAGATTCACAAGTCCATCGAGAGAAACACTGCTCAAGTCCCTCCTCAGATTTGCGCCATCATTGTTGGACGGCCTGGCAGTGCACGTATTGTATCATCCAAATATCGTTTTGATTTTTGCAAGTGTGAGACAATCAAGGTAAATAGAACCGATGTCCGAGGGCAAAACGCAACTGTCTTTTCAGCCGATGCTGGTGTAGATCCTGTCGCAAGACAAGTTGAGGCACCCCTGCTTTTAGGTTCAGCGCCAGTAAGAAACAAAAGAGTCATGGCCTGGCTCGTCAGGCTCACGTGCCCGTTTCGCTGGAGTGACATGATCATCATCAGACACCTCCACCATGGGAACCGATGTACCAGTACCATAAGCACCACCTGTATCACCAGTGCCACTTGATTGGTTGGGGGTCCAAACACCAGTGAGTGAGTGATCCTCGACATAAACATCATCATCCAACTCAGATTCTTCACCTTCTTCAAAGGAAATTGGAATGGAGTTGACATATGGGACATGTTCAACCCATACCCAAAAGCCATTGGCCTGGGGGCCCTTTGAGCCCTTCGCGGCCGTGTCGCCCTTCTCGCCCTTGGTGTAGCCCTTGTAGAAAGACCCATTGGTACCCTTGCCTTTGTCAACATGGTTGCCCTTGCCATTCTCGATGTCATTGTTACCGCCACCTTTCCTTTGAGGCTGTGGCCAGGGATTGCCCTTCTGAACACTCTTGC